CTGGTTCTCGTGGTTCTCTTGGTTCTCGTGGTTCTCTTGGTTCTCGTGGTTCTCTTGGTTCTCGTGGTTCTCTTGGTTCTCGTGGTTCTCTTGGTTCTCGTGGTTCTCTTGGTTCTCGTGGTTCTCTTGGTTCTCGTGGTTCTCTTGGTTCTCTTGGTTCTCGTGGTTCTCTTGTTTCTCGTGGTTCTCTTGGTTCTCTTGGTTCAAATGACACTAGCTTGTGTCTGTCGACTTATTTCTCATATTTTTCAATTGAAATTCTATATAAAATGGAATAAAACACTCTTATTTGAATATCAACCAACCCTTTACATATTACCTAATACTGCCTACTCACAAAGGGAGAACCTTGACATGTGCTTTACTTTCAGCTGACTCCCCATAAATAGTCAGAGTTGATGCTTATAGCTTGTGAGCTGTGCCATCAAGTCAGTGGTGGTAGATCCACATGGAAGGACTTAGGCATCTCATCTGAAACCCCATCTCCCCATCACCTTCCCTGCCTAATTTGGAGTGTAGATAAGTTAAATGTGAAGCAAGCCATGGTAAAAAATTGAGCAAAGTCAACTAACTGTGCAAGCTGTACTTCTGGCCAGTAGTATTTTCTAGGTCCTTAAGATCCTACCAGCTAGAGGTACAAGTCTACAAAACAAAAACTAAATGCAAATTCATTCATGAAGAAAGATATTCCAAGGAGTGTAACGCTAATTTGGAGAACAGAAAAGTTAAGTGTGAAGCAAACTGTAATAAAAATTGGGCAAAGTGAACTAAATAAGCAAGCTGTACCTCTAGCCGGTAGTACTTTCTAGGGCACCTCAAGATCTTACCAGCTAGAGGTATAAGACCAAGTAAAAAAAAAAAGGTAAATGTATTATTGAAAAATAAAAGATTCATAGGAGTGTAAGACTAATTAAGAGTGCAGAAAAGTAAACTGTAAAGCTAACCGTGGTAAAAGAAAAAAGTTGAGCAAAATCGAGTACTTCTAGCCGGTAGTATTTTCTTAGCCTCCCGAGATCCTACCAGCTAGAGGTACAAGACAGCATAAATTTCATCTTTGGGATCTTTCTAACCAGTGGCAAGAGGAAACGGGCGTTAGAGTAGTGATACTATTCCTACGTTTTAATTACCATTGCAAGCTTAGGTCCTTGCGACTACAGTGTTAAGTCTGTTAAGCTTAAAGTGCACCTACACCCAAAAATTTTTTTTCGCTTAACGAAGTAAGCTTATTTTTTTGAGTATTTCTGCGCAAAAATTTTTTTATTTGCTCAAATCTTCAATTTTCTATGCCCAGTCAAAATACGGAAAATCGGCCGCCATCTTGCCCCACGACCGAGTTTAAAGAGGAATGGCTCTAGTGGGTAATGTGACGTCAAATCGAGAACACGAAAGTCTGC